TACGTACATGTATACATGTATATATTTTTATATCTACATATGTATGTATATATGTGTGTTTGTGTTTGTGTGTATGTGTGTCTCTCTCTCTATTTGTGTGTGCATTGGGTTTTTTTTGTGTATATATAATATATATATATATATGTGTGTGTGTGTGTGCATGTGTGTGTGTGTGTATGTTTGTATGTGTAATTTTTTATGTGTGTGTTTGCATGTGTTATTGTGTATGTGAGTGTGCATATCTGTCTCTAACGTACGTGCAGGTGTTTTCCGGTTGTTCATCCAGTTTGGGGTGGCATGTATATCGTATTCATTGTTCAATTTTTATCATTCTGTATTTTGTATCTTTCTGATAATTGAGATTGTCGTAGTACTATTCAGTCACTTGTCTTAGGGTATAATATATTCTGCAAAGACTTGCTACCTCGGAAAGCACATTTAAATATTTCAGTCGGCAGCCGCAATGTGCACGTTCAACCCCCAGAAAACTACGCGTCTTCTGACGTGTTTATTGATAGTGTTGTTTCTCTTGTAGGCGTACAACGGGCAGTTACTATGTCATGTCACTGTGTGAACATATTGTAGTGCACTGTACACACCTAGGGCTGAGCATGATCGATTAATATGGTCGCTACATTCTTTAAAATTCAAGTGTAGATGCACAAAGGCTTCTGTTATTCTGTGGTGACTTTGTATGGAATAAAATACAACGTACACGCTGGGGAGCGAATCCCATACAGTTGTATGGTCACGCATACAGTCTAGAATATAGAGTGCACGCTAGGAGCTCACATCATCCCATGTCCTTCTCACTGCCTATGCATTAGAACACAGTCTACACGCTGGCGGAGGAGGATACAAAGCTTGGGAGGAGGATAAGGCACTCTCTCGAAGTCCTGCAACGAGCCATCGATTTGTATGGGTAAGGATGTACTTCATGAGCCGATTTGTGTGCAGGTTGCGTAGGATGGGCAAATGGTTATGGTGTCGCACGCGTGGGATTTGGTATACCACACCCCTTGAGTGTGTTGCAAAGTTCTCTGGGTTTGACTATGGTGTGATCAACGTTTCAAGAGTGCTTGTACGTTTTGATCTGGCGTACGTGAGAACAGCTTTGACACACTGATGAAAGCTTTGTGCTCTCCATGTATAGCAGAGCGGCCAAGCTTTGTGATAACGTTAACGTATGTAATGTTGGCTGCATGTATGCCACTGCTGGTTTTTGTCTACTCTAAACCTACCGCCTTTAGTCGTGAACTTATGCAGCACCTTCATCCCTTCACGGGGACTTAAATGTGAGGTGTATTGATGTGTATGTATGTATAAACTCCTGTTCATTCTAGTCAAGTACGTGCGAAGATTGTGTTCGGGCCTGTTTCCACATACAGATTTCAGCTCTCTGTAAATGCTTGCCTCGTTCCGCTTCCCCTTTATTGCGTGGACTTCGATGCCCGCCCACACATTTATACCCACCCGCTAGGCGACACATTTTTATATTTATATTACATTTCCCACTTTTCACCTCTGGCTGTACTTCTTAGTATTCGCATTTGTAAGTTTTTAACCGCAATTTTTTCCTCCCATATTTACTTGTGTGTAGGATCCACGGCATAAGCCTGAGTTTCAACGGCGGCAAAGACTGTACGCTAGTCCTATACCTATGGGTTGCGGCCTGCGTGAAGGCTGGCGATCTCCTGGAAGACCCTATCCACACTCTCTATGTACTAGAGCACTTCTGCTTCACGGAGATACAAGAGTTTGTCGATAGCTGTGCACAGAGGTTTGTCGACAGTGTGTGTAGTTTGCGTGGTCGGTGCGACACCGAATGGCATAAAGCTAATCTGAATTCAATCCCCTCATATCACCGGATGTCATATAGTGTCCATATTCGTTGGTTTGGAAAGGGGGCATTTGATGTGGTCCAAGCTATCCACCGACCCATGCATCTTCTACCGTGAGCCCATATAAAGCTATTGATACCCGCAGAGGTGTTTAGTTTGCAGTTTTGTTTTCCACCCCTTCCGACTAGATATGAATGGAAGGTGTCATATCCCGCTGGTGTTGCCCATCAGGTCCAATCAATGACATTTATACCGAGGCGCTCCCACACATATATATATATACACTTACACACACCCTCTGTTCCTTTTCTTGACAATGGCAGATTTAATTTAGATTTAATTACGAAGGAAGGCACCATCAAAGAGGGGCTAGGTACAATGCTCGGCAAGTATCCGGAAATCAAAGGGGTGATCATAGGAGCAAGGCATACGGACCCGTTCTATGGTAAGCTAATCTGTTGTCAGTTTTCGTAGCGTTAAAGGCACTCTTTGCAGTATATTGCTTCCTCTAAAGCCATTCTCACGGAGTGCGCCAAGCTCTTGCATGTTTAAATTTGCGTTGAATCTGAGCACACTGTCGTCGCCTTCGTCCGTCGCAATATCTTATAGCTTGTGTGTGCATACGCCGAGTGCCTCTTTGTGATTCATGGGCTCGTTGCATTGTGTCCTATACAGTCAGGGATATGACGGGGTTCGTTTATGCACGCTATAGGCCCTTATGAGCACCATATAACACACGCATTATCTGTGCCAGTATATTGTCGGTATTTATTTCCTTCGTTGTGCCTACCACAGGTAATATGGATGAGCTACAGATGACTGACGAAGATTGGCCGCAAGTGATGCGAATACATCCCATCTTACAGTGGTCGTACCAGAACGTATGGGAATGTCTTCTGCGGATTGGCGAGCCTGTATGCGAATTGTACAAGAAAGGGTATGTCTACATGTGTGGCAACACATAGTGTTCATACTCACTTCCTCGTTGTTTCTGGGTAGTTGTATTACCGCTGGTGGGGCCTGTATATTGCCATAGTGCTGGACGAAGTACAGTACTTTCTTCCTTCTGGTCATACATGTAAATCCCTCAGATAACTGAATGTAAGCGCAATTGCTTTGGAATGGTGTCTTTCTACACGACCTACGCAAAGAAGATATACTGGTTCACATATCATTCATATGCTGGAACTGCCTGGATATTGCAAGGTGGCACTATATGTTTCACTTTTAAGCTCTCGTTGATCGTCGGTGATTTTCTTTTCCGCAGGTACACATCCGTGGGCAACACGCACAATACGCATCCTAATCCTGCGCTGAGGAATGAGAGTATAGAAGGAGGGTACGATCCTGCCTGGAAACTTACGGACGGCACTTTAGAGCGTGCCGGTCGGGATAAGAAGAAAAGTTAGTATATTAAAAGATTTTCAATCTAGAATAGGTGGTGGTCTCGGAAGTTAGAGAGTCGATGAGAGAATCAGATTCGATCGTTTGCCACGATATTCTTATCTGATATGTAGGAATCACTCGCGCTCATCGGTTTATTGAACACCTTTTACCAATCTCGAATTTTTCGAGCTGTGTTGATATCTGGTATCCTGTATGTACGCTCTGATATGTGATATTATGAAGTATAAGTTTGCATAGGCTTACTCTCTATAATCACGTTTTAGTTGATTTTTTATACCATAATAGAAGTATGCTCGCGTTGTGGACAGACTAGAAGGATACAATGCACAAGTCCATGTGCTTTATCGAGTTGAGATAGAAGTTCATGGTATCGATCTGCCTGTTTCAGAAACGTGGGGTAGTGGGCCATTCTAGCCTGGGATATGGATAGGGGTTTACGGAGCAGGCTTCTGTGCTTGTCTGATCTGAATACAGCTCAAAATTTATCCAGTTACGCTTACTTCCTTCGCCAGCGAGCAGTGCGTGAATAGCGTGATTTGAAACACTAGCTATATCTTGCAGCAGATCTCAAAAGAATTTAACTTGTCCGTAGTTGCGCGTAATGGTGGAACGAAAATTTGTGGTCTCACCTAAAAACCTAAAAACACTAAAACCCTAAAATCTCCAAGTGGCTCAATATATAGCTACGTATATAAGTATGACTAAAATTTGCATTTTAAAACTTAAAGTGACTCATTTATAGCTACGTGTAAAAGCATGACTTAAATTGACACTTTAAACTTAATGTGGTTCAATATGTAGCTACGCGTGTAAGCATGACTAAAATTGATATTTCAAACTTGTAGTGACTCAAGATGTAGCTGCGCGTGTAAGCATGATATCATAGACTTGGAGCGGTTCAATATGTAGCTATGCGTATAGGCATGATCAAAATTGACCTTTTAAGCGTCTTTTACTGTAAACTCGTATTTATAATATTCACTATCCACTAATTTAATAGACAATTAAAATATGTATTTCAATATGTAGTCACGTGTACAAGCATGACTAAAATTGGCATATTGAACATATTTTACTGTACATATCTTCTTAATATTCACTATTCACTATTTTAAATTTGACTTTTAAACCCAAGTGGCTCAATACATAGCTACGCGTTGTAGGCATGACTTAAATTGTCATCTTAAACTTATTTTATTGCATACTTGTATTGTTACCTATTCACTATTCACTAGCTCACATTCAAATCAAAGTGACTTAAATGTAGCTACGCATGTAAGAATGACTAAAATTGTCATTTTAACATATTTACTGCGTACTTGTATGTATAATATTCACTGTTCTGTAATTTAAAATTGACATTTAAAACTTGAAGTGGCTCGATCTGTAGCTACAGGTGTAGGCATGACTAAAATTGGCATTTTTTTTAAATATATTATGCTGCGTACTTATAGTTACAATATTCACTATTCACTGATTATATTTTTATGGGTCAGCATTTAAACAGGCAGACTTGCTGTATGTGAGTTATATAGTGGGGTTTGTGTGCAAGTAGCGAAGAGCACGACAGGCGGCGAGCCAATGGGTCTCATATGAATTGGCAAGGACGCGAGAGAAACTATTGAGAGCAAATGTGATGACAATGCGAGTGAGGATCGAAAGGTAGTAAATTAGGTTACTGATGAATTCACGTTAGGGGCAGTCGTGGGGTGGCCCAGTGTTGACCTCGAGAGTTGTGGTGGGCAGTAGTAGACTGGATGGGTGGTGGTTCGATAGTCTCATTGATGTAAGATGTTTGCATGATGCTAGTATGAACGGAGTTGGCGACGATGCGGCAGTCAAGGAGCCAAGTAAATGTAGCAACGTCAACGGGTGTGAACCACAAATGATAAGGACAAACGGTAGGATGGGGTACGGAGAGCATTGATCAGTGTAAGCTAGTGTAAAATCAAAGTGAAGGAGCTTGACTGGATTAAATAGGACCAGAGTTTGCCAGATTGCTTGAGACCACAGAGGGACTTCGCTCAAGGGTGGTGTCGTTGGTAACGACAATCGTGTACAAGCCTGTGGGCGGTTTCATGAAGATGGAGTGGTCCAGATTGGCGTGAAAAAAATGCAGTATTGACGTCCATTTGCTCTGTATGCCAGCCCTTGTTGGCGGCGACGGCCAGGAGGGTGCGGAGCAATTCATGGGTGCAAATAGACACATGTCTGTTCCTAGTCTGGGTGATACCGTGCGCGACGAGACGAGCATTGTATTTGTCAATGATCGCGACCCACTTGGACGGGACAGTGAAGACGGCATGTGGAAGACTAGCGGTAATACGGAGGACATAGGTACCAGTGGAACGGAGGTTGTTCATTTCGAACCCAATTACAGCACGCCGGTGACTTCAGATCTGGCGAGGGCTTGTCTGGTGGTGATGGGGGTAACAGGCTGGATTTGAATATCTGTGCATAGAGAGAAGATGTGCGCTTTAACGGCTTCGTAATTGCGTTGGTCGGATCGATGTTTCCGAGTGAGGTGTGGTGTATATTGGAAATATTGGGGAGATCAGCGTGGTGTGGGTCGGCGGCAATGTCGTCAAAAAGAAGATTGCTGAGCTCACGTGAGTGAGGGCGCTTGCAAAATGCTGCTGGAGCCTGTCGAGGTGAGCGTGAACGAGGATGCGAGCTTCTTCGGAGGTGGCATGAATGACTGGCGAAGCTTGGCGATCTGTTGCGCTTGGAAATTGGTGATACTGAGACAAGTTTTGCGAGCCTATTTATTGGTGGAGGACTGGACTGGTGAGCGTGCGACATTGTCGATGGCAATCCGGAGGACGACGTGAAAGTCGCTGGTGATGGGCTAGAACTCGATGGAGGCGATGGTTGGGACCTGGCGTTGGGATGTCTGAGGGTTTCAGGTGGCTGTCTGAAATGGTCTCGACGGATAGGATATCGTTAGTTGGCGGTGGCTCAACGAATGAGTGATCGTTGGTAAGTGGTGTGTGGAAGGTAAGAGTGGTGGGTATGTTATCGGAATGTGTGGATGTCAGGGAAGATGTCACAGTATATGTCAACGGCCGTGAGTTGCTCAGGGGAGAAGTATGGCTCGGACTTGGATTCGACGTTATCCAGAAAGGAAAGATGCCCTTATTTAACGGGACGTGGCGGGAAGTCATTGTGGGGCCGGTGTCGACAATAAGTCAGCACAGGAGGAATGGTCGTGAGTAGGTTTTGGTCGTGCAGGTGGACTGGTAGCCAAATCTGGCACCATGTAAGTTGAGACTGTTGGTTTGGATGGCATTGAGGAAGTAGCAACCGGCTGATCATCAATGACTAAGGTGGCACCTTCACAGGCGATGATACACTGTGCGAGGCCGTAGGGGATACGATTATGTATCCATTGTGTCGTATGTTCCGGACGGAGAAGATAGGTTGGTTGACGTCCGGAAGGGCGAAGGCAGGCCCAAGGCTGGGAAGGGTGGCTTTGATCACATCACGTAGTCTAAAAAAAGTTCACATGAATTGTACAAGTGAAACGAGAGATGGGGCTCGCCCATATAGTAGCCTCAATGGTTTAATATTATATGTTCTTAGACAAAGTATACTTAGACTCGTGATACTCGGTTACTCTGTTACGTTTGAGTTTAGGTCCTTGTGGTCCTCGATGGTGAGCAGGATGTTTCTTTTGGCCTTTTGGAGGTACATACATGCCTTGATCTCTTAAACCTGGAATGAATGTTGTCTAAGAATATACTTCGACTATCAGGACATTTGTTTGTGTGGAAAATGCTTCAGTTCGAGCCTTATTTTTGTGTAGGTGTTTACGAGACCTCTTATTGACTGTTTTCTATACATCTGGATCACCAAATGCTGATGAATGTTGTTTAAGAATACACTTTGACTATCAGGACGTTTTTTTTGTGGGAAAAGTGCTTCAGCACGAGCCTTATTTTGTGTAGGCGTTTACGAGACCTCTTACTGAATGCTTTCAATACGTCTGGACCACCAAATGCTGATAATATTAGTAGATCGTATTGAGCCTCGTTTGCTAATTTGGCTGTATAGTAGGTAAAATCACCTTGTTTGTACTTCCCGAGAATCTTTTAAACTTGTAAGATATAAGGATGTAGTAGCCAAAGGATGATTTCTGTTTTAGTTGAGCCAATATTTGAAGAAATCGAGCCGTCAGAATTATTAACTCTATAAGTTCGCTGTTTTATTCGGCTACTCAAATCACGGACGGTTCGATATACTTAGCGTCAGAATCGAGAGCCATGATGTTGGCTATAATCCCGATCTCAAACTGGGCCATTTTCTTTGTATCGTTTCATCGCTTCTGTCTCTTTCTCAGAGCGATATCCGGCATCTCCCTGAAGCAAGGAAAGACTGCGTCTCTAGTTCTACACATCTTCTTCTCCAACTATGGTTTCATGATCTTCACTATAACGGCCACTGAAATAGCGAGAGGGCGTTGTACCAGCGAAAGAATCCGGTGTCTCGTTCATTTGTGTTTGTACCTAAATAATTGAGTATAACCACATATCAGCATCATCAAACAACTCTTCTCGCATAAAATTATTCATCTTTCCTTGTCTCACCTCGTTTGCACCTTTGTGTCTGAGGTTTATGAGGCACGAACATTTTGTGGCATTTGACTGCAACGAGTAACAGTATCATCGTGTCGTCTCCTGTACACTATAGCTGGCCAGCTAAAATCTGCGAAGCACTTATAAATGCTTCCAGTCACAGTTTGAGTTGATTTATTTTTCAGCGGATTTCTTGCAAGTTCTCTCGTGAAGCAACATCAAACTCGAGACAATTATACTATTCTTTCGTGCGTTCGGACATGGGCAGTTCAACCAAGTCAATGATAACCCGGCGCTACGGCTCGTTTCAGATACGCTTCGTAAGGGCGCGTATGTGTCCATGGCGCTTGATTCAGTTAATTTCGCAGTCATTGCATTCGTGATACACTTGAAATACAAACTAAAGATTTGATTGTACAATCCCACACTTTTTGCAATCTTTTTCGGTCCTTATCTTATCCATATGTTTTAACCATTCATTCTGGTTTTAACCATTTCAGAATAGCTACCTCGGTTGATTCTGTATCATCGAAACCAAGAGGTGAGGATTTCGCTGTTGAAACTCAGCTAGTCTTACTTGGCGTGAAGGCTCTAATGAATATATACGACTGGTATTTGTTTTGTCTATTAGCTATTAAAGCAATATGATCGTATACATTTGGCAAGTCGTTCATCAATTACGTAGAAGCCTGGTCTTAGCTTCGTAAGCAGTCGGCACGTTTTCAGATACGATTCGTACGGGCGCGTGTGTGTCCATAGCGCTTGATTCAATTAAATTCGAAGTCATTTCATTCGGGATACACCTGGGATATATGGCTTAAGTTTCTGGTGCACAATCCCGTATCGGTTGCAATATTTTCTGCGTTAACCTTGTCCAAATATTTAAGAGCATGATTCATTTCAGAATAGCTTCCTCGGATGATTCTGCAACATCAAAAATAGAGATAAAGACTCTTTTCGCCCAATCTCGCTTGAAGGCGCAACTGTTTGTATCCGACTATTATTTGGGTTGTCCATTAGTCGGGAAACATGTTCGTAGGCATCTAGAAAGTCGTGCATCAGCTGCTTAAGTAATCTAGTCTCGGCTTCGGAAGTAGTTCCCCTGTCTGAACATATCTTCTTGGAAAATGCTTTAGCTGGCAATGCGCTCCTTTTTGATTCTGTTGAATCAGATCGTACCTCAGTAGCACATACTGCAGGTGCGTGCGTTGTTTTGGTCTCTGCTTGAGACCCAGGTGTCAAGAGTGGAATTTTTTCTTTCGACCATACGTTAAAAGGTTTCAGATGGTGTCTACTTGGTTTTTTCAACTGTACCTATTCGACATAGCATTCTATGTCGCCAAGGCATCTTTTGGACTGCACGGGTACCCTGGTAAATGAAAGCATTTACCTCTCTATCCAAAAAGATTGGCTCACATCGAATTATTGAGATCAATTGGTTGACCCACTTATCTGAATGTCGTCAGGAACAACATCACGTGATGGTAGCATCCGGTGTATGACCATAATTTAGACGGGTACCCTAGTAAATGAAAGCATCTACCTCTCTATCCACAAAGATTGGCTCACATCGAATTATTGAGATCAATTGGTTGACCCACTTATCTGAATGTCGTCAGGAACAACATCACGTGATGGTAGCATCTGGTGTATGACCATAATTTAGCAACTGTAGTATCAACAACCACGGTGAATTTGCTCATGTATTCTCATCGGTTAAGTCGTTTCAAAACGCATTACCTTCTGAATGCTCCATAATTCAAAATCGCGGCAGTTGCAGATTATGATGAGCTCAACATAAAATGGTATGTCGACTATATATATATAACTTACGATCTCAAGCAATCTAGTGTTGGCTTCCCAATCCGTAGCTAGTAGCTCCCGCACCATTGTATTAAAATTCGGTACAAAGTGTGACAACTATCCGGTAGGTGATAGAGTATATTAAAATCATTACCCAATGCTGAGTTTGGTTTCCTTTCCCTTACGACTTAAGTGCCGCAATTCATTGCCAGGCTAAAGAAGTGCACGTATCGTTCGGTTTCCCATCAAATACTTGATACAGTACACCTCCGAGTGCCATATCGGACGAGTCTGTTTCTATCATGAACGTTACTCCGTCTCTTATTGACTGAACTATCGGTGCTTGTTGAACCACTGTTTTGAGCTGCTTAAACGAATCATGACAAGTCTCGGTCAAGGCTCTTAGTTTGCTTTTGTGAGGTCTTAAATGTCTAAAAGGCTTATGTTATTTTGCTAAGTGGGAAACTCCGTCAGACAGGAAGTTGCCGAAACTACACATGCGCTTTACACTCGTTCCAGCGATAGTTGTTCTCTAATCCAGAAAGTGCTCAACCTTTCCACGATCGATCATGATACCTTCACCAGTTACGCGGTATCCCAACAGCTCTATTTCTTTAACAGCTCTATTTCTTTATGTTGACATTAAAGTTTTGCTCGTTCAGTTTGCCAAGATCTTTCTTACGACTCTGTCGTGTTCCTCGTTAGTCTTTGTAAAGAGTCCAAACGGTTTTTGTTTTTAAAGGAGTACTGTTGTCCATGCCAGGTAAGCGTGGAGCATATGCGCTTTTTATATCTTCATCTGGTGATAGCCTTGCTATGAATCAGTGGTGAAGATGTTGTAGTTCCTTTCATTCGTCTCAGTAACTCGTTAATCCTCGGTAAGTGGAAACTGTATGTTGGTATAAAAGCGTTGATAGGGCTCATATCCAAACATATTCGTACATCGGATGCTATATTCGTCAATACCTTGCGTAGTACCTTACGTACAATACTTCATAAAATGTTCATCCATGCATTCTATTTTAACTTCACGCATCGTTTCGGACGATGGTCAATTGTATAACTGTCGT